ATTCCTTTTGTTTCCCATTTGATCAACAGTCGTAAATTAGAGATGGCCTTAGTAACTTTGCCGTAAATACAAAATACAGTACTAATAAGGGAAGCAGAAGTAGAAACCTGATCATTTCCTTTAGCTATTCCATTTGTTTCCCATTTGATCAACAGTCGTAAATTAGCGATGGCCTTAGTAGCTTTGCCATAAATACAAAATACAGTACTAATAAGGGAAGCAGAAGTAGAAACCTGATCAGTTCCTTTAGCTATTCCTTTTAATGAACCGAAATTATTTTTATCTTTGCTTTTTCTTTTAACCAAGATAACATTGTGACTCCAAAAGCCTAAAGATCAATCCGGAAGCTTAAAAGTTATCAAGATCTCCTTATCAAGAAGAAAGTGGTCTTTGGAAGTTCTCGAACTTTTACTTGGAGGTGTGAATAGAATTTTAAAAACTTTAACTAATATTTGACCAAATAAAACCTAACGTTTACTATAGCTCACAATTGCCCAGTACTCACATTAAATGCATCAATTAAATACAAATCTAAAATATCTTAATCCATTAGTAACCCTCAATCCAGTCAGGTAAGACGTGATATTGCCACATAATATTAAAAGCGCTCGTAATGCCGGATATAACATACACAATGTTTGTTATATTTGGAAGCTGATTTTTACTGAATTTTTCAAAATGATATAAGAAGACGTATGATAAGGCCCGGCATGGCCAGGTGGTTAAGGCATTCGACTCGCAATCTGAGGGTCGCGGGTTCGAATCCCTGTCACACCAAACATGCTCGCCCTTTCAGCCGTGGGGGCGTTATAATGTGACGGTCAATCCCACTATTCGTTGGTAAAAGAGTAGCTCAAGAGTTGGCGGTGGGTGGTGATGACTAGCTGCTTTCCATCTAGTCTTACACTGCTAAATTAGGGACGGCTAGCGCAGATAGCCCTCGTGTAGCTTTGCGCGAAATTCAAAACAAACAGACGTATGATAAAGCAATAAAACGCAGTTTGTATTTTTTAGTGATTCGTTTGATCGATAAAAAACACTTGTACATGTCATAATCAGAGTGACCCTATATTTGCCTCCTGGGCACGTTTGTTTCCAAATCGATTTTTGAAATGCAATCGTGGAATATCTGTTCCAATGTTGTATCTAGCCACCTGGTGGTAACTAAGGGCATAGGTAGCGAAACTTGCGTCAGTAATGGTAACCACAAATATAATACTTTATTTAACGAAACAGGTCAACCGAAACGTTACTTGCTGCAGCTCACGTGCGTGACGACAATACAGAGTTTGGCGGTAAACAGCAGTAAATTTCATAATCCTAAATCTTTTGTGAACTTAAAAAAGTAATGATATGCGTAAAAATATATAAATTGAAAGTATAACTCGCGGGAAATTAAATGTATAGTCTTATAATGAACAGAAACGAGTGTTTTATTAAAGTTTGTTAATTTAGATTCTAATCGTTTTATTCTGTTACTTTAACTACAGATTGTATTGTTTGTAATTAAGCCCAAAGCTACACAATGGGCTATCTGTGCTCTGCCCACCACGGGTATCGAAACCCGGATTCTAGCGTTGTAAGTCCCACAGACATACGGCTGTGCCACTGGGGAGCATCTACAATTTGTCAAGTGTTATATTGTATAATTTTTTTTTGTAATGAAAAGAAATCTCTTGTTCACTGGTTACTCTTTTAACCCCCCCTTAAACATGTTAAATAAACAGTCTTTTTGTTTGCCTGTGTAAAATAGATCATGTGATGTATGTCATGTGATTGTTTGAGCTCTATAAATGTAAAGATCTAGTCATATTACGGTTGGTTTTTAGGGAAATGGGAAAGAGTAAGGATTTCGTCGACTTCAAAGGGGGTATGATAGTAAATGTACGTCAATCAGGAGCTTGGTTTCCAAAAATTAATTTTTACAGACTATTCAAAGATAATTGTCAAGATACCTAGAGGTAATAGTGATCGAAAAAGAATCCGTGGGTCACTAAGAAGAACTGTGGTGACAGACTAGGGAAGTAGATTAGTGGACAAACTTCAGAAGTGTAATAGATGCTACATTATTCCCAAATTTACCTATTCCTTCAACAGTAGTCAAGACTCAACTATTTTCAACCATCCCGTGCAAAAGACATTACAAAAATTACGTGTTCTGATCCAATAAGCTGTAAACATTGAATCACTGAAAGCGTGTGTCGTGTTCTGATTCATTTCGTTTCACCCTTTTTTTTGTACTGACAATAGAATATAGACATGGAGAAAACCACACAAGACTTTAACCTTGCTTCTGTTGCTCCGACAGTAAAATCTGCTGTAGCTGGTGTAGTGGTGTGGGTAACATTACTCATACAGCAGGGTGAATAACGTTCAGAGTGTGTATGAATGTTGTTACCGATCCTGTCCACCTTATAATGCTGCATTACTTCCCTAATGGCCAGTGGCTCTTCCAAGACGATAATGCTACAGTTCACCATTCTCGTATGATCTAAAATTGATTGAAAAGATATAACAGAGATTTCAATTGTTGCCCATGTTGGAACTGAACTTTGCAACAACTATTGTAATTGTCCTCCAACTCATATGAGCTAGATAGATTTAATCCAAACTCCTCAACGATGGTTGGACTTTGTTTGAAGAAGACATCTTCCTGTACCTTGTGAAGTCAATACCATGCCAAGCAATGAGTATCATCACTGCAAAAGGTCAAATTAATATTAGGTGGGGTTACTAACAAAATGATCATTCATTATAGTTTAAGACTTAAAATCGATATTTACTTAAGATTTATATTTACTCAAGATTTATATTTATTTAAGATTTATATTTACTTAAGATTTACATTTACTTAAGACTTATTTCCAGAATCGAAACCTCATTGAAGAGTGTTAAATTTGTACTTATTTTCTTACATTTTTTTCTAGGAATTGATTTTAAACAGAAAATCATCAACCTGGACGGAACACCTATAAAACTTCAGATATGGTGAGTGTATAAGACAGATAGGGAACACGTATAAAACTTCAGATATGGTGAGTGTAAAAGACAGATAGGGAACATCTATAAAACTTCAGATATGGTGAGTGTAAAACACAGATAGGGAACATCTATAAAACTTCAGATATGGTGAGTGTATAAGACAGATAGGGAACACGTATAAAACTTCAGATATGGTGAGTGTAAAAGACAGATAGGGAACATCTATAAAACTTCAGATATGGTGAGTGTAAAAGACAGATAGGGAACAGGTATAAAACTTCAGATATGGTGAGTGTAAAAGACAGATAGGGAACACGTATAAAACTTCAGATATGGTGAGTGTATAAGACAGATAGGGAACACGTATAAAACTTCAGATATGGCGAGTGTAAAAGACAGATAGGGAACACGTATAAAACTTCATATATGTTGAGTGTAAAAGACAGATAGGGAACATCTATAAAACTACAGATATGGTGAGTGTAAAAGACAGATAGGGAACACGTATAAAACTTCAGATATGGTGAGTGTAAAAGACAGATAGGGAACATCTATAAAACTTCAGATATGGTGAGTGTATAAGACAGATAGGGAATACCTATAAAACTACAGATATGGTGAGTGTATAAGACAGATAGGGAACATCTATAAAACTTCAGATATGGTGAGTGTATAAGACAGATAGGGAATACCTATAAAACTTCAGATATGGTGAGTGTAAAAGACAGATAGGGAACATCTATAAAACTTCAGATATGGTGAGTGTATAAGACAAATAGGGAATACCTATAAAACTACAGATATGGTGAGTGTATAAGACAGATAGGGAACATCTATAAAACTTCAGATATGGTGAGTGTAAAAGACAGATAGGGAACATCTATAAAACTTCAGATATGGTGAGTGTAAAAGACAGATAGGGAACACCTATAAAACTTCAGATATGGTGAGTGTAAAAGACAGATAGGGAACACCTATAAAACTACAGATATGGTGAGTGTGAACGATAGATAGGGAACAAATATGGTAAGTGTAAACAAGAGGTAATCCACAATAGCCGCGGCACTTGCAATTATTTTAAGCATAATTAGAGTAAATTAATCTATGATACTATTTTTTTCGTTTCTATTAGCTATATTTTTGTGCGCCAGCAATACCAAACGCGGGGCGCGCGTATACCTGATGTCATGAATTTTCTTCCAACCTCATTCTGTACTCTTATTTCTTTCTTTCGTTTCTTCCTTTTTCCAAAAAACAACAACAATAACAAACAAAATTTATCATGATAAACCTACATTAACATTTCTACTGCTACAAATTAGGCTTTCATCGAAACATGAAACGTAAACGTCGTAATTGACGAAATGGCCAAGCAGGGGGCTAAAACATAAGTACGTCATTAAATTAAACACGTGCTGTAAGAAATAAGCAGTCATCCATAGAGAATTACAATAATAATAATAGGGAAACTAATCAACATCCTTGATTGACGAACGTAAAACAAAAACTCCCATGCGTGTCCGTTTATTTAATTTCGTGCGTATTTTAGTGAAATTAATCGTATTACTTGTCCAGACGCCTTTAGAAATTGACAACTCCACCTACATGTAAGTATTTCTATAACTTAACCAATAAGATTGTGAATGTTTTGTGACGTTAGATCCCATTTAATCATCTTATATTACTAGTACCTAGGGCCCCGGCATGGCCAGGTGGTTAGGGCGCTCGACTCTGTGGGTCGCGGGTTCGAATCTCTGTCACGCCAAACATGCTCGCCCTTTCAGTTATAATGTGACGGTCAATCCTACTATTCTTTGGTAAAAAGAGTAGCTCAAGAGTTGGCAATGGGTAGTGATGACTAGCTGTCTTCCCTCTAGTCTTACACTGCTAAATTAGGGACGGCTAGCGTAGATACCCCTAGCGTAGCTTTGGGCGAAATCAGTAACAAACAAAATACTAGTATCTTTATAGAGGTTTTCAAACAACTGTTTGTTGGTGAAAAAGTGTGTTTGTGATTTTGGGAGTATAATTAATCAATCCATGGTTTAATGATTGGAAACATTATATGTTTATAGCGAATGATCAATCATTTTAAATAACTATTCCTTGGTGATTAGTCTGAAATATAAATAACACGCACGACTTTATTGTATTTATATTTTTAAAAAAGTTCAGCTTGTATCTTAGCACATGCGTATTTTCTACAAAATTCTGATTTAGTCTTTAGTCAAATTGTGATGGCTTATTCCACAAGCTGGTCGATCTTCTGTATACTCAAGCCACAACATCTAATTAGGGTACTTACTAATCGTGTATAAGGACAAGCAGAAGCTGGTGTCATGTGTAATGATGGGGGAGAGGGAGAAGCCCAGAACTAAACTAATCAATACCGAAAACCATCATGAAGATATAGCCCTAATAAAATTTCACGAAGATAACGAAATCATCGAAATAAAACGAAATTAAAATAAGAAATAAAACTAGGTAAAAAAAATGCAAGCCGTCATTGGACTGATTATAATTATATATCTAGTTATACGCATGCTCGCACGCGCACACAATCAAACACGTTTTTTTCTTCGATTTCTTATACTATTTATAAACAAATAACGTTATTTTCATAAAACCTTAATGGTCGAGCGTGACCTAATGGTTAGCGCTCCTGGGCTGTGAATTCGGAGATTAGTGGGCAGTGAGCGTGCTTTATAAAAGTGATCAAATCCCACTATTCAAACGGGTAAGAGTAGTCCGATAGTTGACTAGCTAGCTGCCTTCCCTCGAGTCTAACAATTCAGAATTGATGGCCACTTCTTGCAGAAATAGCTTCTGTGTAGCATTGCGCGAAATTCTGAAGCTTGTTTGTTTTCTTGAATTTCGCGCAAAGCTACACGAGGGCTATCTACGCTAGCCGTCCCTAATTTAGTAGTGTAAGACTAGAGGGAGGGCAGCTAGTGATCACCACCCACCGCCAACTCTTGGGCTACTCTTTTGACCTTCACATTATAAATCCCCCACAGCTGAAAGGGCGAGCATGTTTAGAGTGACGGGGAATCGAACCCGCGACCCTCAGATTGCGAGTCGAGCACCCTAACCACCTGGCCATGCCGGGGTCCAAATTCTGAAGCAATCGAGACTCAACAACAATGATTCAGAATGTGAAACGTGGTTTTCAGAGCTTCGTTGTTGACTGCGAGTTTAATTAAATAAGTAAAATAACTAAACCAAAGTAATAAAAAGACGTTCTGTTTCGTTAGTGTATCTATACTAATCGTTTGTCTAGCTTGGTCTAACTTGGTTGACGTTACCATTTTATAGTTAAGAAACTTTACGTTTTTGCAAATTCACGTTTTACGTGCTTGTGTACTTTTGTTTTTGCCTTTCTTTTTAGTTAAATTTGTGGAATAATGTATTAACTTTCTTACAGTGCAGATAACGAAAATAAATCAAAGTAAATAAATAATTTAATTTATGTAAAAAACACTTGTATCTAAACTAAATATAATAAGCAATCTTGTTATTTAAATTAGTCTCGGGTGAGCTTCACTGCATTACACCTATAGAAGTAGTAAATGTTACGTTCATCAGGTGTCCTGTTTATTTGTTTTAAATAGAAGTAATCGTTGTATTATTCAATGTATATGAATCATTTCTGTCTAATGTTCCACCGAATGTTACTCTTGATCAGAGAATAATATAATTTTTTACAGAAATACGACTCCCACTTTAAATGTTATATACAAGTTATATATGGTATGCAATTAAAAAAAAAAACATTTTAATGTTGACCAGCTTTGTTGACTACCTACTAATTTAATTTCAAGATCATAAATGGAGCGGGATCGCCTTTAGTACAGCTCAGGATTTCGGAGCTGGCGAGCCCAGGTTCGAACCCATGAGATACAAGTTTAAACTGTGGCTGCGTTAGAAAAGTAACATTCGATGGCTTAGCGTGTATGGTGAATGGCAGGATGCTGCTGACTGGCTGTCTACCTCCCTCCCCTCCGGTCAGTAGTTCAAAACTATATACAACTTTAAGCTGTGGCTGCGTTAGAAAAGTAACATTCGATGGCTTAGCGTGTATGGTGAATGGCAGGATGCTGCTGACTGGCTGTCTACCTCCCCCCCCCCCTCCGGTCAGTAGTTCAAAACTAAGGACGGGGATGATAGCCTTAGTAGCTTTGCCATAAATGCAAGATGTAAATAGAATATTGCAACGTGTAATAATGTAAATAAATGAAAGTGGAATGGTCGCATCCGGTTATAAAATAGTCCTCTCGTATATTATTCTTACTGTGGACAGAACGTTGATATTCAAGTATAAGTAAATTGAGTTGTATTGTGTGTCACTCTTTTTTTCTATATATTAGGGACACTGCTGGTCAGGAACGGTTTCGAACACTGACAACAGCCTACTATAGAGGAGCCATGGTAAGTTAGTTCTTTAGTTTGTATCTAGAAGAACACTGACAACTGCCTACTATAGAGGAGCCATGGTAAGTTAGTTCTTTAGTTTGTATCTAGAAGAACACTGACAACGGCTTACTATAGAGGAGCCATGGTAAGTTAGTTCTTTAGTTTGTATCTAGAAGAACACTGACAACAGCCTACTATAAAGGAATGGTAAGTTAGTTCTTTAGTTTGTATCTAGAAGAACACTGACAACAGCCTACTATAGAGGTAAGTTAGTTCTTTAGTTTGTATCTAGAAGAACACTGACAACAGCCTACTATAGAGGTAAGTTAGTTCTTTAGTTTGTATCTAGAAGAACACTGACAACAGCCTACTATAGAGGAACCATGGTAAGTTAGGTCTTTAGTTTGTATCTAGAAGAACACTGACAACAGCCTACTATAGAGGAGCCATGGTAAGTTAGGTCTTTAGTTTGTATCTAGAAGAACACTAACAACGGCTTACTATAGAGAAGCCATGGTGAGTTAGTTCTTTAGTTTGTATCTAGAAGAACACTGACAACGGCTTACTATAGAGGAGCCATGGTAAGTTAGTTCTTTAGTTTGTATCTAGAAGAACACTGACAACGGCTTACTATAGAGAAGCCATGGTGAGTTAGTTCTTTAGTTTGTATCTAGAAGAATACTGACAACGGCTTACTATAGAGGAGCCATGGTAAGTTAGGTCTTTAGTTTGTATCTAGAAGAACATTGTTTTCGTTTGCGAAGAATACTTGTTTTGGGGTTGGTTTCCTACACCCCTGATAGTAGATTTATACTTTTTCATCAATCATTTATTAATACCTCTGAGATTCTGATCATTAGTGTTAATACATCTGAGATTCTGATCATTAGTGTTAATACATCTGATATTCTGATCATTATTGTTAATACATCTGATATTCTGATCATTATTGTTAATACATCTGATATTCTGATCATTATTGTTAATACATCTGAGATTCTGATCTTTATTGTTAATATATCTGATATTCTGATCATTATTGTTAATATATCTGATATTCTGATCATTATTGTTAATACCTCTGATATTCTGATCATTATTGTTAATACATCTGAGATTCTGATCATTATTGTTAATATATCTGATATTCTGATCATTATTGTTAATACATCT